TATATATATATATATATGTGTATGTAGTTCCAGACATTCTCTTCTTTAACGATTTCAACCAAATGCTGAAATTTTCAGGTTTCACCTGTGTTTAAATGACAGCCAGCTTAACGTTAGTCTTTCTCATTAGTTACAGACTCAAATTTCGGGACTGCCCATTTGACACCTCCACAAGATCGTTCCTTAGGAACCTCAAATTCCGTAAGACAACATAAACTCATGATCCTCTCCCGTTCTCAAATCTGCTTCTGCAGTGTGCCCTTGCATGCTCACAGCATCAGTCTTCCATGCTTCCCTCTTAGTTGCCTCTTCTGTCTAACTAATCACAAGTTTTATTGAGTTTTCTTCCTTTTCTTTTCTTTGAGACAGAGTCTTGCTCCATCATCCAGACGGGGGTGCAGTGGCATGATCTCAGCTCACTGCAACCACCTCAAGCCATCCTCTTGCCTCGGCCTCCCTAGTAGCTGGGACTACAGGTGTGCACCACCATGCCCAGCTAATTTTTGTATTTTTAGTAGAGATGGGGTTTCATCGGGCTGGAACTTCTGACCTCAGGTGATCCACCTGCCTTAGCCTCCCAAAGTGCTGGGATTACAAATGTAAGCCTGGCCTATTGAATTTACTTCTGCCATGTCTCTCATATATGACTCTTCCTTTACATTTCTGCCTTCTGCCCCAGGTGAGTTTTTCCTCACTTCTCCTTGGGATGGCATAGCCCTCCTAACTTCTGTTCTTGCCTTCAATATCTGCTCTTCAAACCCAACCTTCATGCTGCAGCCAAAATAATCAGTCTAAATATTTCTCCACTCCCCCAGTTTTATTAAGATATAATTGACAACTAAAAATTTTGTCTATATTTGCAGTGTACAGTGATGTTTTGATACATGTATGCATTGTGTAGTGATTAAATCAAGCTAATTACTAAATACTTCTGATCCTACCATTTCCCTCCCCAGTAGCTTCTTCTTCACCTAGAGAATAAAGTTGAAGTGCATAATTTAGCATGGCATTTCTATCTCCCAGATTAGGTCCAGCCTACCTTTTCAGTTTTGCCTCCCCTTAATAAGCCACAGAGTCCATCCCAGTGAGTCTCATCCCTGGCTGTGTGTTAAGACTACTTGGAAAGCAATATCTAGGGGTGAGACCTGAGGATTAACATTTTTTAAAGCTTCCCCAAAGATCCTGATGCACAAGCAGGGTAGCAGACCCCTGGTCTAGCCACAACTGGCTACTTGTACTTCTTCATCTGCATGGTACTACCTTACTCTAAGCTCCACATACTGGGAGCTGGTAGAGCATAGCATTCACGGGAGTTGACTCTGGAACCAAATCCCAGCTCCATCACTTACTGGTTGTGTGTCCTTGGATTAAATGCTGTTTCCTCTAAGAACCCTTTCCCAATCTTCCCAATCAGAATTAATTTGTTTGCTCCTTTGTAATATTTTCTGTCCTTGTTATAGCACAGGGCTGGTTCCTGATGAGCTCTCAATGGATTTTCATTTCATAGAATTAAATTATCATGCCGTACATTTTATTGTCATTGTTTGCATGCATATGTGCCCCTACACCAAATTAAAAACTCTTCGAGGGCAAAGATTATATATCATTCATCTTTGTATATTCTAGAGTGCCCCATACGTATTAGACACTCAGTAAGTTTTGAATTCTATAAACTATTTTTAAATGAATTTTAGAGAAAGAAATACCATTAGCAAGATACTCTATTTAGAGTTATTTTCAAATATTGCCAAGTATAACATTCAGTCCAGCTTGTTCACCACCAACCCTCTGCCTCTTAACACTAAGGTTGCATGATTCTCTAGGATATGGATCCTCACTCTGTAGCAGGGAACTAGCAGAATGATGAATTTCCGTGCCTACTGTCACAAACCCATATCTCATTGTCAGGTCTGCCAACCTGGCATATTCGCATAAGGAGTCTTATGTTATGAAGTGGTGTAATATATACAATCAATCCACAAAGGATCAGTAAACACCAGTTTTCCTTCACACACATTATGAATCATAAGGGCAGCTGGATTCAAATGTTTACACATCAACTCTAATTTTAACCATCCTCATCCACATCCCCCTTGACAATTCCCTTTTCCCAAAATAAATTTGTGTAGTTTGGCCATTTGACTTAGATTGACTAATTCAACTGTAATTCTGGAGCCATTAATTATTTTGCTTGTGCTCTTGCTTTGTTTGATTAGTTATTTGTTCAAGCATTATTTGACATTTTCTTAGTAAAGGAGACCGGTGAGTAGCTTCCAGAAGTCCAGAAGCAGACGTAACCTCCATTGGGACCTCCTGTGCACTTATGCCCCTGTAATCCCCTATTCCAGATTAGTTATGACCCAAACTTTAAGAACTGAATGAAAAGGGACAGAAAGGTTGGATGTATCCTACTCAACATATTTATGATGTTTATTTTTTATTTTATTTATTCATTTATTTATTTGAGACAGAGTCTCACTCTATTGCCCAGGCTGGAGTGCAGTGGGGCAATCTCGGCTCACTGCAGCCTCCACCTCCCGGGTTCAAGCGATTCTCCTGCCTCAGCCTCCCGAGTAGCTGGGATTACAGGCGCCCGCCACCACGCCCGGCCAATTTTTGTATTTTCGGTAGAAACGGGGTTTCACCATATTGGCCAGGCTGGTCTCGAACTCCTGACCTCAAGTGATTCGCCCGCGTTGGCCTCCCAAAGTGCTGAGATTACAAGCTATTTATGATATTTAATGTGTATTGTTTGTCTCTCACCTCCAGAATTAAGCTCCTCAGGACAGGGATCCTGTTTTGTTCACTAATGTTTGCCAGGTCACCTAGAACAGGTGCCTGGCACACAGTAGCTGTCAGTCGGTATTTAATTGAATGATTGAATGTATCCCAATGTACTTCTTCGTCTATGCTTTTCTCCCCATGAGAAAATGAGAAGAGGGGTGCGCTTGTTGACTGAGATGGAATGAGGGCTAGGTTTGTGGAGGCCCAGCCGAGTTCCTGGACAGATCTCCAACCCAAGCTTTTGGGTTGCCGGACAACCGCGTCCTGAAATCCCGCCTTCTGGGCGGGCACGGGCCGAGGCGCCCCCTCTGATTGGTCAGCTGGAGGTGATGGGCATGAGAGACAGCGAAGGAGCAGCTACACACTAAACTTCCGGGCGCGGAGGTCTGCGCGCCCTGGTGAGCCGTTGGCCTGGTGGTCCCGCAGTGAGCCCGGCGGCCGGTGGGGAAGTCAAGGAGGGTGAGCCGGGAGGGGCCCCCGGGGTGTGCTTGTCAGGTCGATTAGCCTTAAAATGTTAGTAGCAGGGGATTCTGGGTGTTACTAGCAGGGGATTCTGGTAGTGAGGGAGCGGGACCGGGAATGGATGTAAGGAGGTCATCGGTCAGCAGGTGATTTCCCCAGAAGAGGCTTCAGCGGGCAGCTGCGTACCGAAGCTCCCTCTCCCGGCGTCTGGCTCTTCCTTCACACACGCCTTATCACATCCACTCACGATTCCCATTTCCAGGACCTGGAGGTTGGGGAGAGGTCGCAGTGGTTAAGGATGGACAGGGGTGGGTGTGGCCCTTTCTGACTCAGGCTTGCGGGTCCTGGAATAATAGCCCTTCACTCTTCTGCTTTCCTGGTTTCTGACAGGTTTGAGCATGGCAGAAGGAGACACCCTGTTATCAGTGGATTATGAAATTTTTGGGAAGGTGCAAGGGGTGTTTTTCCGGAAGTATACTCAGGTATGTGGCCTGCAGGCTTTGGGGTGGTAACCTAGGTTGTGGGCATAGGAACAAGGGACATGTTCCTGACAAATGTGAACTGGAAGCCGCTGGCCAACTGCATGGCAAAGAGGTAGTTTGTAGAGCAATGAGTATGAAAATGCTGTGCAATCGGTAAAACATGGTGTAAATGGAAGATTATCCTGCTGTTATTATTTGTCTTTTTCCAACAGTGGTGCCTGAGCATCTAGACACACATATTAATGAGCTTCTCTCTTACAAGGGAAATAGAGGGCTTCACCAGTTCTCGCTGTTGTGGCGTCATCAAACCAAGTCAGATTTCTTATAGAAAGGCTAACATTGATTGAAGAGATGGCATTTAGATGACCTGATGTCATGTATATAACATATATAAATGCTTCCTCTGTAGTTGCTGCACTTTCTTCAGACCTCTTTCTCCAAGCTTCCCTCAATTCTCCACTTAATTCCTTTCTATTCTTTTTTTGGTTTTGAAAGAACATTTACATTTTCCAGCTGATGTTTTTCTTATTAAAAACTCTTTATCCGTTCCAGAATAGGTGATGGGAACACTGAATGTGGAGCCTGGTATTCTTCCTAGAGCAATAAGGGAGTATTTGAGGGGATGGACAAACTGTTGGCAGCCTCTACCTCTGCTTTAATGTGGTTAATCTTCCCTCAACAGGCACACATAAATGCAAGCTCAATTTCCCCTCTGCCTTCTGTAGGTATTGGTTATTGCCTTCCCGGTGTGTCTTTAATCCCACAGATAGAGTTAGGACTGCAGAACTTCTTAAGTGTCTCCTTCCTGGGACTGTGGTACTTAAAATTCAAATTCTAACCTGGAAGGAATCTTTGAAATATGAACGTGAATTGTCAATACCTTTTTTCCTTTTTCTTTTTTTTTCTGGAGGATGGTGGCACAGTCACAGCTCATTGCAGCCTTAACCTCCCAGGCTCAAATGATCCTCCTTCCTCAGCCTCCCAAGTAGCTGGGACCACAGGTGCATGCCACCACACCCAGCTTTTTTTTTTTTTTTTCTTTTAATAGAGAGCTATGTTGCCCAGGCTGGTCTTGAACTCCTGGGCTCAAGTGATCCTTCTACCTCTTTTTCTTTTTTCTTTTTTTTTTTCTTGAGACAGAGTTTCACTCTTGTTGCCCAGGCTGGAGTGCAATGGCACAATCTCAGCTCACTGCAACCTCCGCCTCCCGGGTTCAAGCGTTCTCCTACTTCAGCCTCCCGAGTAGCTGAGATTACAGGCATGCGCCACCACGCCCTGCTAATTTTGTATTTTTAGTAGAGACAGGATTTCTCCATGTTGGTCATACTGGTCTTGAACTCCCAACCTCAGGTGATCCGCCCACCTCAGCCTCCCAAAGTGTTGGGATTACAGGTGTGAGCCACTGTGCCCGGCCAATACCTCTTATTCTAATTATTCAGAAACCATTTCTTCCCATCTGACATTCAAATAGGAAATGATTGTTGAAAACAGAATTGCTGAAACTCATAGCAAGAGCTGTGTTCCAATTAGCTTTGCTACCAATTATGCAGGTAAGTTCCTGTAAATTAAGGTGATTGAGATAATAGCTTCAAAGGTTAGTCAAAGTTGTTGAGGGAAAGGGGCCAGATAGTGGTATATATAGCCCATCTTTCTCTACCTGCCCTTCTCCCCAGTTTAAAGAAAGAATAACAGAATGCAGAAAAACAAATATTGATTGGAAAACTGCATATAAAATGACATCTTTTTTTTTAATTAGGCTTGTAGCTTATTCTTTACTATTTATAATCATTTAAATATATATGTTCATTTGAACAGTTGTTTTGCTGCAGTCTGTTTGCTGTTGATATTTAGCCTCTTTAAATTCCTTCATTTCTAGAGAAGTGGCAAATAATAATTCAGGGACTTTTAAAAACTTGGAATATAATTTACATCCCATAAAACCCATCCTCCTAAAGTGTATAATTTGGTGATTTTTTAGTATATTCACAAAGTTGTGCACTAATTCCAGAACATTTTCATCATCCCAAAAAGAAACCCCCTACCTGTTAGCACTCACTCCTCATCCCCTAAACCCCTAATAACCACTAACCTACTTTCTGTCTCTATGAATTTGCCTATTCTAGATTTTTGTTGTTGTTGTTGTTGAGACGGAGTCTTAACTCTGTCTCACTCTGTCGTCCAGGCAGGAGTGCAGTGGCATGATATCGGCTCACTGCAACCTCTGCCTCCCGCGTTCAAGTGATTCTTCTCCCTCAGCCTCCCAAGTAGCCAGGATTATGGGCATGCACCACCACGCCCCGTTAATTTTTGTATTTTTAGTAGAGACGGGGTTTCACCATGTTGGCCAGGCAGGTCTTGAACTCCTGACCTCAGGTGATCCACCTACCTCGGCCTCCCAAAGTGCTGGGATTACACTCGTGAGCCACCATGTTCACCCTATTCTTGATATTTACTATAAATGGAATCATACAAATGTGGCCTTTTTTTGTGACTGGCTCCATTCACTTAACATATTGTTTTCAAGGTTTATCTACACTGTAGCATGTATTAGTATCCTATTCCTTTTTATGGCTGAATAATATCCCATTGTATGGATATACCACATTTTATTTATCCATTCATCAGTTGATGGAAATTTGGGTTTGATTTTTGGCCATTATGAATAATAGTGCTGGGAACACATATGTGCATATTTTTGTGTAGACAATGTTTTCAGTTCCATTGAGTATATACATACCTAGGAGTAGATTGCTGGGTCATATGGTAACTTTATGTTTAACTTTTTGAGGAACTGCCAAACTTTTCCAAAGCAGCTATACCATTTTATGTTCTCACTGGCAATGTGTGAGAATTCCAGTTTGTCCACGTCCTTGCCAACGATGGTTACTGTCTTTTATGTTAGCCATCCTAGTGGGTATGAGGTAATATCTCATTGTGGTTGTTTGTTTGTTTTTCAGGTATTAATGAATTTAAAAGGATTTAAATCATACGAGGAATATTCTGCAACTACAGTGGAACTAAACCACATTAAAAAAAAATTAAAAAGATAACTGGAAAATCCCAAAATATTTGGAAACCATATAGCACACTTACTTCTAAAATTGTGGTAGAATACATATAACATAAAAATTACTGTTTTAACCATTTTTAAATGTACAATTCGGTGGTCTTAAGTACATTGTTCTGTTTATCTACAGAACACTTTTCATCTTGCAAAACTGAAACTCTGTATTCATTAAACGCTAACTCCCCATTTTCTCCTTCCCCCAAGCCCCTGACAATCATAAATCTACATTCTATTAATTCAACTATTCTAGTTACCTCATATAAGTAGAATTTCACAGTATTTGTCCTTTTGTGGCTGGCTTATTTCACTTAGCGTAATATCCTCAAGGTTCATCTGTGTTATATTATGAAAGTAAAAACAATTTTCTTTCTTTGTAAGACTGAATAATATCCTGTTGTACATGTATACTTTCAGTGTGGTTTTGATTTGCCTTCCTAATGACTAATGATGTTGAACATGTTTTCATGGGCTTATTGGCATATTTTATGTCTTCTTTGGAGAAATGTCCATTCAAATCTTTTTGCCCATTTTTAGTTATTTGCCTCCTTATTCTTGAGTCAGAAGAATATTTTTATTCTGGATACTAGTCCCTTATCAGATATATGATATACAAACATTTCTCCCATTCTGTGGGTTGTCTTTTTAATTTCTTGATAGTGTCTATGAAGTACAAAAGTTTTTACTTTTGATGAAGTCAAATCAAATTTATCTGTTCTTTTTTTGCTTATACTTTTAGTGTTATGTCTAAGAAATCTTCCTAATCCAAGGTCATGAAGGTTCATGCCTATGTTGTTTGTTTTGTTTTTGTTTTTTGTAGCGACTGGATTTCCCCAAGTTGCCCAGGCTGGTCCTGACCTCAAGCAGTCTGTCCACCTCAGCCTCCCAAAGTGCTGGGATTACAGGTGTAAGCCACCACACCCAGCTGTCATGCCTATCTTTTCTTTTCCTTTTTTTCTTTTTTTTTAGACAGAGTCTTGCTCTGTGCAGTGGTACGATCTCGGTTCACTGCAGCCTTCTGCCTCCAGGGTTCAAGCGATTCTCCTGAGTAGCTGGGATTACAGATGTGCACCACCATGCCTGGCTAGTTTTTGTATTTTTAGTAGACATGGGGTTTCACCATGTTGGTCAGACTGGTCTCCTGACCTCGTGATCCACCCGCCTCGTGATCCACCCGCCTCAGGCTCCCAAAGTGCTGGGATTACAGGCGTGAGTCACCGCGCCCAGCCGCCTATGTTTTCTTCAAAGTTTCATAGTTTACACTCTTAGATTGAGGTCTTTGATCCAGTTTAATTTTTATGTGATGTGAGGTAGGAAATCCAGCTTTATTCTTTTGCATGTGAATATCCAGTTGTCCCAGCACCATTTGTTGAAATTAGTATTATTTCCCACATTCATTTGTCATGGCACCCTATTCAAAAATCAACATAAATGTAAGGATTTATTTCTGGACTCTCAATACTATTCCATTCATCTGTATGTCTGCCTACTGTAGTTGAGATGTTTGTCCCCTTCAAATCTCATGTTGAAATTTGATCCCCAGTGTTGAAGGTGGGACATAATGCGAGGTATTTGAGTCATGGGGCCAGGTCCCTCATGAGCAGATTAATGCCCTTCCTGCAGGGTGGGAGGGTCAATGAATTCTTACTCTATTAGTTCCCTTGAGAACTAGTTGTTATTTTTATTTATTTATTTTTTTGAAATGGAGTCTCATTCTTGTCGCCCAGGCTAGAGTGCAGTGGCACAATCTTGGCTCACTGCAACCTCCGCCTCCAGGGTTCAAGCGATTCTCCTGCCTCACCCTC